AGAGCCTGTGCAGAGCTGTGGCCTCATCCTGCACGTCACCTATGCAGCAGTCCTGAGTGGGCGCCATTGACTCCTTCACCTCCCAGAAGAGGCATAGAGAGAGGGCTAATAACTTGGCCAAAGTCAATAAATACCAGTTCAGAAAGTCAGAACTCAAAACCAAGGCTGTCTGTCTCTGGAGGGCACACTCCAACACTCCACTGAACTGCCTATGCAGGATCAGCGCAACAGACGACCAAGGATCAAAATGTCTACAGAGAACCTTTTTTTTTCCCCAGATGTATTTTTTTATTTTATAATTTAATTTAATTTTACATATCAGCCACGGATTCCCTTGTTCTCCCCCCCCCACCTCCCGTCTACAGAGAACCTTAACAGACACTATTTCTGTGAGACAGAAAAAGTCATTTGGATGACTCAGCTTGCAAGAAAGAAAAAGGTGGGGCTGAAAAGATGACTCAGTCAGTGGTTTTGAGTATGTACTGCTCTTGCAAAGGACTTCAGTTCCTAGCACCCACATCAGCTGATTAAACAACCACCTGTAATTCCAGTTCCAAGAGATCCAGCACCCTCTTCTGACCTCCATGGGCACCCACACTCAAGTGTACATACACAGAGCGGGGGAGGGAGAGGGAGAAAGAGATTAAAATGAATGTAAGTCTTTTTTAAAAAGAGAAATAGGAGATAAACTCAGATTGGTGAAATTCATCTGTTTTGATATGTCATCTCCTAGACTACCATTGACCCCATGTGACCAAAACAGCGTATCTAGTGCCATTAATCGAATTAGATTCAAGAACAAATTACAAAACCCCGGAGTGCCAGACATGGTGGCGCACGCCTTTAATCCCAGCACTCAGGAGGCAGAGGCAGGTGGATCTCTGTGAGTTCAAGGCCAGCCTGGTCTACATAATGAGTCCTAGGGTAGCCAGGGTTATGGAGAGGGAGGGAGGAGAAAAGAAACTCCAAAACCAACTGTCTAGTTAGGGTTTCTACTGCTGTGAAGAGACACCATGGCCTCAGCAACTCTTATAAAGGAAAGCATTTGACTGGGGCTGGCTCACAATTTCAGAGGTTTAGTCCATTGTTGTCATGGTAAGAAACATGACAGCATGCAGGCAGACATGGTGCTGGAGAAAGATCTGAGGGTCCTACATCTTAATCCACAGGCAGCAGACAGAGACTATGTGCCACACTGGGCACAGCTTGAGCATAGGAGACTTCAAAGCCCACCTCCACAGTCACACACTTCCTCCAACAAGGCCACACCTCCTAATAGTGACACTTCCCATGGGCCAAGCATTCAAACTTATGAGTCTATTAGGGCCATTCCTATTCAAACCACCATACCAACTCAGAAAATTTATCTTGAAGACAATTCCTTGGAAAAGACTTCAGGGACCAAAACCTGAATCAGTTTTCTATGAATTCCATAACAAATTGTCACACTCAGCAGCTTTAAACAGCAGAAATGAATTGCCGTACTGGACCCTGACTAGAATCAAGGTGCCTCCAGGGAGGAATCTGTCACTTGCCAGCTCCTACGGGTTCTCAGCAGTGCTTGGCTCGGTCTTGCCTGGATTACCAGTCTTGCTGACTACAGTGGCTTCTGCTTCCAGGAACTCACATGCTTGACTCGTCCAGGACCATCTCCCATTTCAGGTCTATAACCTTAACCACAGCTGCAAAGCTTCAATACAATATGCCATAATGGAAACAAGTGTTCTGGGAATTTAGGACATGGGCCTCTTTGGGTAGGGTGGCGTCATTCTGCATTCTGGGGGCAGTATTCTTTAACATGCCCCACATAGACAACAGTTTCCTCACCCATAAAATGAAGATAATCATAGTGCCTTATAGCGAGAAATCCACAGGAGTCTGCTTGAAGGGTAAAAGGAATTTATTAGGAAAGAACTCACTAGACAGAACAGGGTCCTGGAAGGCTGGAGTACTATCCCACGCTTTTCTGCCGCCCGAGTCAGTCCACACCATCCAAGCCCACAGGTGAGAAAAGAGAGCAGCGTACATGCATCTCGGGTTTTAAGGGTCACCCCGAGACCACACCCCAGGGCAGGTGCTTTGAGGTTATAGGCAGAAGAGTTACCTGCTGCATCTCGAGGGGCCTTACCTCAGGGTCATAGGTAGAACAGACATCCACTACAGCACCTGTCTCCTAAGGTGGTTGGAAGGGTTGGTAAGTTGATATAAGGAGAGCCCTGAGAGCGGTGTACACTGGGCTCACAGAACCCAGTCAGCAGTGCGGCTTCTCCATGGGGTGCGGGAATGCATAAAGCCACAGCTGTCTGAGTATTTCAGAGAGAAGTATAGAAGAGAATGGACATTGTTCATACTGCTTGAATATTTTATCCCTGGGAGCTGTGTGACCTCTTGACACAAGGTGGAACCCAGTGCCACTGTAGTCATTCTTTAGATAATAAGAAGTCGTGTTTTGTTTATCTGAAGCCTCAGAGATGGGATTTGAGCAGGAGAAATTTCTACATGATTTTTAGAACTAGCTACGACTATCTATATTCTGCCTCACCAAAATTCAGAGTGGGCATGAAGCAGATGTTCCATGCTGTGCTCATGAGGGAGGGCTCTCCATCCCCTGGTAACGAATCCAGTGCTACAGCTCCATCAGTGAGAACTGGATGTCTACACTGAGGAACACTGGGCCAAGAAGGTCTTCCTGTTAACTGTGGAAGGAGACTGAGGCACCCAGTGTCCCAAGGGCAGCTCTAAGGAAGGAGTAGGGACCTCTTGAGGGCGTGAATAGGGAGCACGTGGAGGGAAGGCATAGGGAGCACGTGGAGGGAAGGCATAGGGAGCACGTGGAGGGAAGGCACAGGGAGTTCTTAGTTGGAATGCATAGGGAGCACTTGGAGGGAAGGCATAGGAAGCACTTGGAGGGAAGGCACAGGGAGCACTTGGAGGGAAGGCATAGGGAGCACTTGGAGGGAAGGCACAGGGAGCACTTGGAGGGAAGGCATAGGGAGCACTTGGAGGGAAGGCATAGGGAGCACGTGGAGGGAAGGCACAGGGAGCACTTGGAGGGAAGGCATAGGGAGCACGTGGAGGGAAGGCATAGGGAGCACGTGGAGGGAAGGCACAGGGAGCACGTGGAGGGAAGGCATAGGGAGCACGTGGAGGGAAGGCACAGGGAGCACTTGGAGGGAAGGCATAGGGAGCACGTGGAGGGAAGGCATAGGGAGCACTTAGACAGCTTTTGTAGGGCATCATAGTTAACAGCCTTGCAAATATGTCCTATATAGAAAAGTGATAATAATTGGTATCATTTACCAGGGAAAAGTTGAAAGGATAATTTAATCTTACATATTATATGGAAAACTTCCTAATTGAGAGAGATCTAGCCAATGGTAGGATCTAGAGCCCAAACAGAAATTTACATTATTTAGAGAAGGATCTATAAGTAAAACTCAATTCTGGAAATAGTGAAGTCCTTAACTCAGTGATTGTTAAAGAAAAAAAATTATTTGTCTAAAAAGCAAATCTTCATATTTATGATTTCACTGCAGAGTACCACCTCTTTACCAAAAATAACTATAGGGGTTTCAGATTTCTTAGGGGTGGCAAAAATTTAAATGTAAAAAACCCCAAACACTGGGAGTTGAAAATGATACTAGGCTTTTCTTAAACACAGCAAAATCTTAGACTTTCAGTTTATTGGATATTAAGTCTGTTTGGCAGGAAAGCTGTTTGAAATAGATTTGTGAATTCCATAAATACTCATTGAGTGACCAACTGTGTGCTGGACACAGAGTGACAAACAGAACAGATAAAGTTCCTGTTTTCGTTGAACTGGCTTGGTCTTCCTAGTTGGGAAGACAGAGAAGAAACAGAGCAAGAAACATGCTCAATGATGATAAACAGGCCACAGCAACCTGAAGCCAGGGTATGGCGGGGGACAGGGTGACTCTTAGACATCAAGCCATCAGGAAACCTCAGAGGAGGTGACATTTCAGCTGAGAGTGAATGAGTGGAAGGAACCATTGTGAAGATTGGTGAAGGGACGTTGGATAATAACGAAGACCTAGAGCAGTGGTTCTCAACCTTCCTGATCTGTGAGCCTATGAAAGTGTTGTTCACCTGTGCTGGAGTGAGCGGAGGAGGCAGGAGAGGGAAGGAGGAAGAGAGAACAAGGGGAAGTAAGAGAACAGAGGCCATGGCTGGCACAGACTGGATCATCTATGAGGTCTGTGGCAGAAGCTAAACGTTGTTACCCAGGAGAAAATTTGATTTTAATATACAAGAGATGGAAAGCCGTAAGAATTCAAGCAAAAGAATGGCTGGATCTAATTTATATTTTCACTCCCGGTATCAATCTGTGTGAATCTCATGCACAGTTGTTTCTTTTTTTTTCTCCTGCGTCTGATTTGTTTATTCCACGTAGTGTAATATGATTTCCACCCATTTTCCTGCATGTTCTTTATAGCTAAGTAAAATGTTGTTGTGTTAATGTACCACATTTCCTTAATCCAAAACTTTAAATAATTCTGGATTGCCAAATGGTAGAATGTTGAAAGGCCAAGGTAGAGTCAGGCAAAGTGGAAGATGGCTGCAGTTTTGCCAGGAGACTGGCAGAGGGTAAAGGGGGTGCAGCTGGGAGCCCCTGCAGTGGGCATGGCTACAAAAGGGCCTGGCAGGAATGAGGACTCAAGAGTTAAGGGATTGTCCAATTTAGCACAGCATGTCTGCTCAGCGCACACAGGGATGGAAAACAGTTGGGTAAATGAGACTAGAATGGCAGGGGAGCCGAATCTGGAGAGCTGGGCTTGGCATCACTGGTAGGTGGGTAGTATTCAAGCTCTTTGGGTGACTGAGGGTCTTGGTGCTGCCCTGCATTTACAGTCAGCCCTGGGAACCTCAGTCACCCCAGCCCTCCTGAGAACCATGGCAAATCCAAGCAGATGTTTTGGGCATCTTGTGGGATATATTGAGTAACTCACTCTTTTTTTTTTTTTAATCTGTTTCATTTTTAGATTTTAGAAATCCTAGTTTTCTGCATCCTTCTGTATTTCCATAAAAGAAAAGGAATGAAGCACATTGTGATCCTGCTCACCCTGGTGGCACTCCTTGGTAAGAACCTGTTCTGAGTCTCTTCACTGCGGAGTCAGGAGGCTGAAGGAAAGTACCTGGGCATGCTATCCTTCGTCACTGTTTCTGCTTTCTCCCTCTGACCCTCAAAAAGAAAGTCCAAATTATACAAACTATAGCTTGCATACCATTTCTCAATTTATACATATTTCATTCTTTTTCAAATACATTTAAGTTTTTTATCTGTTGCTAATTTTTTTCTTCCTGAGAATCTGAAGATTTTTTAAGAGAATAATTGGAAATATTGAAAGGAAGAAACTAAAGAACTCAATGATCTTGCTTCACAAGATCTATCCTATTTATACTCTTAACTTAAATGTGGATAACATGAAGCATAGGCATGATTCTTTTAAGTGCTATATTTCCTTCATTCTTTGTTTCTTTTTGTCCCAGTGGCTCCTGGAAAGGTTGAAACCTGGTGCTTAGATAGCCAACTGTATTCTATGGACTTTTTTCTCAGACCCTTTCATCTCCCATCTCTCCTGATCTTTCTCATACACTTATATGCCAACACTAAGATAGCTCACAGCCCATACCGAGTAACTTCTCTTAATACTTTATTTCCAACTCTTCCTTTATCCCCCCCTTACTGTAAGATGGACCAAACTTAATAGACTGTACTGACGTCACTGGAGTAGGTGCACCCCACCCCATTTAGCGAGATGCTGGGCTCCCATCTTTCTACTTCATCAGTTAGTTAGTCCTCTCCTCTGCACTGGAGCATTTGTGTTTATGACACTTATTTTTGGAAACAAATATCCCCTACACAAAACACCATCTGCTGAAAACAGAGGGGGGACTTTGTATTTATTTCAAAAGCAAACAAGAAAAGAAAAAATGTGTACCATATAGAAAAATATTGAAAATAAAAGGAAAGTTGAACTAGGAGCATAACAGAATTAAGATCAAGTTGCGAACATAAATGTAAATGAAACCAGTTTTTTAAAAGAAAGATTTTCAAATTGGACTTCAGAGAAACTCTCAGTTTAATTTTCAAAATGGTTCTGAATTGAATTCAGTCCGTGTGCATGGGTACAACTCGGTGTGAGTTGCTGAAATAGCCACCACATACCCACTATCTTCTAGAATGAGCCCTTCCAAAGCCCCTCCTACTCAGATCTCTACACCTGCCATGATTAGCACTCGGTACTAGGGCAAGGGCCTCCTTCAGGACCAGCTCCCTCTCTAATCAGCCTTGCTAGATGTGAAATGTTTTGAACGTATATACATATATACTTTACCTAGAACTGTGTAACTTATGCCTAAAGTTACAGTAGAAGAAAATAGGTATCGTGTTTTACTAAGTTAAAAATCAGGCAGAAAACATTAAAGGTGACAAGCAGAGGCATTCTGAGAAGAAGAGTCTCGTCTAGCTGGGCAAAGTGATGCACACCTTTAATCCTAGCACTTGGGAGGCAAGTGGATTCGAGGCCAGCTTGGAGTACATAATGAGTTCTAAAACAGCCAGGACTGTATAGTGAGACCCTGTCTAGAAGAAGGAGGAGGAGGAAGAAGGAGGAGGAGGAGGAGGAGGAAGAGAGTCTAGTCCAATGGTGCCTCATGTTGAATATGCTATGGGAAAATCTCAGAAATCTACACTAATAGAAAGGTAAGAGGTGTAGGAGACTTCTCTCTGCTCATGGAACATAAAAAGAGATATACAAATGCATTGAGATAGAAGATCTGAATACTTAGTGTTGAACTGGACCCTCTAATATTGAACTACACAAAGTGCAAACCCAGATTGAATTGCAGCATATATATTCAAGATCACTGTGAAAATACTTAATATTAAAACCTACAATTGTTGATTAATACTGTGATCATTATTATTGCTAGTCACTAGTGACTTTTACAAGAAAAAAAGTAGTTATGAGAATCATGGGAAGATTTGAAAAATGTATAGTGTTGTATGATTTGAAACACGTGAAGGGCTGGAGAGATGGGTCAGTGGTTAAGAACACTTGCTGCTCTTCCAGAGGACCTGGATTTGATGGACCTTCTCCTCCTTCTTCTAGACAGGGTCTCACTATACAGTCCTTGCTGTTTTAGAACTCATTATGTACTCCAAGCTGGCCTCGAATCCACTTGCCTCCCAAGTGCTAGGATTGAAGGGGTGCATCACTTTGCCCAGCTAGACAAGACTCTTCTTCTCAGAATGCCTCTGCTTGTCACCTTTAATGTTCTCGGCCTGATTTTTAACTTATAGATGGTTCACAACCATGTAGCTCCATTTTCAGGGGATCTGATGCCTTCCTCTGCCTTTGCAGGCATCAGCATGCAAGTGGCACAAAATGCCCATACATATAAAATTAAAATTAAAAAACAACAAAAAAAAAAAGCGCACACGAGGCAAAGTTGGAGGTGAGTGAGAGGGAGTGGAAGTACGTGGGTAGTTTTGTCTTCATTGTTGATCTGATATTGATTGTGTGATAGATCAAAATGTCTGTAATCCTAGTACTTCAGATATGCAAGCTGGAGAATCGGGAGTTCAAGGCCAGAATCATCTATGTACTTGAGCTTGAGGCCAATATGAGCTACGTGAGACCCTATCTCAAAAATAAGAAAAAACACAAGAAACGGAAAGGCAGAGCAAAATGGCTTCCAATGAGTAGCTGTCTTGCTGTATCTGGGGCCATTATTTACACACACACACACACACACACACACACACACACACACACACACACACTTTTTAAAACCTTTTTTTCCATTTATTGAAAATAGGTTTTATTTTTTCCTCATACAATATATCCTGATTACAGTTTCCCCTCCCTCTACTCCTCACAGTTCCTCCCCACCTCCCTTCACATCTGGATTCACTCCCTTTCTGTCTCTCGTTAGAAAACAAACAGGCTTCTAAGGGATAATAATAAAATAAGATATAATAAAGTAAAATATAATAAAATAAATTACAATACCCATCAGAATTGGACACAACCAACAAAAGAAAAAGAGCCCAAGGGAAGGCACAAGAAAGAGAGACTCTGTCATCCACTCACGTGGGAATCCCGTTAAAACACTGAACTGGAAGGCAGACCCATGTCGGCCCTGTGCATGCTTCCTCAGTCGCTATGAGTTCAAATGTGTTCTGATTATGTTGACTTAGAGGGCCTTGTTTTCTTGGTGTCCTCCATCCCCTCTGACACTCACACTCTTTCTGCCTCCTCTTCCACAGGGTTCTCTGAGCCCTGAGGGGAGGAATTAGATGGAGACCTCCATTTAGGGCTGAATGTTCCAAAGTCTCTCATTCTCTGCATAGTGTCTGGCTGTGGGTCTCTGTATTTGTTCCCATCTGCTGCAGGAGGAAGCTTCTCTGATGATGGTTGAGCAAGGCACTGATCTATGAGTAGAACAGAATGGCATTAGGTGTCATTTTTATTGCTACTTTTATTTTAGACCAGTGGCATTTAGGTTTACCCTGTGTTCCCAGGCTATCTATTCTCAGGTTCTTAGTCACCCAAGCAGTGTTGGGTAACAATGCCGTCTCTAGAGTGGGCCTTAAGTCAAGTCAGATATTGATTGGTCACTCCCACAAGCTTTGTGTCACCATCACCCTAGCATTTCTTGCAGGCAGGACACTATTGTAGATCAGAGGGTTTGTAGCTGACTTGGTGTTTACATTTCTTTTGGTAATGTACAAAGTACCTTCCTGTGCCAAAGATGCTAGAACGAAGGAGTAAAAGCTCTATGCAGGTGCCGGCTCAACTTCTCCATGTTCAGTGAGCTGTGTAGGTGTTGTCCTCGGCAATAGGGAGCTGTCACTTGTGGAGAGCATCCTAAGGTTTGGTAACAGCCTGGGTTGTTTGGGTTGGTCAACAACTCCATTAGGTGTAACCCAATCCCAAGACTGGAAGCTTCATTTGATGACAGGAGACGGACAGTTGGGGCTCTGTCTCCCCCATTAGTTGGCGATTTCATTTAGATCACTTTCATATATGTATATGTTTTAGGAAGCTTCTACTGTACTAGGTTTCCAAACTACCCCTCAAATGCCCCTAATTTTAGAGACTTTAATGATAAATTGACAATGTATAGCTATATAAACTTATGGGGTAAAGGGGTGTTATGATTTATGAACACTGTTGTAATGACCACACTGGTAGTTAATATATCCATCACCTCAAACATTGACCATTTTTTTGTGCATTGAGAGCATTTAAATTGTATTTTCTTAGCAATTTTTGAATGTCAGGATAAATCTAGTGAAGGTCTTTTATTACTTTGGCATGGTTTAGGTTTTGAGTTCTGTTGCACAGTGTAGTGAGTATTGTTAATGACAATCTGTGACCTCCTTTCTTAAAAAAAAAAAATCTGAAGTCTCTATGCACAGTCCTCCCAAGGGTCAGAATGCTGTGGGATCCAGAAACCTCACCCTATTTTTAGCACACTCCAGTTGTCAATGCAAAAACAACTGAAATATTGATGGCTTTGATCAGGAGATGTTAATCTAGTATCTAGTCACCCAGGAATCCTTAGAATGGGATAAAGAACTAAGCGTTAAACTAGGAGAGCCAGAAATCAAATCAGGAATGAGCAGGACGCTGGGAGAATGTGTCGTAGCAGCAAAAGGAGTATGTGTTTGTGGTTGTTGATTAAGAAAATAGAAAAAATAGAAGAATACAATAAAAATGTGTGTCATGAAGACTGACACCATGTGACAGCGTGACTCCAGAAGGCTGTCTGCAAGGCTGTTTCAAAAGCCTTCACACACAGCTGTCAACACACTATTCCCCTTCAGGTGATTTCCACAGAAATAGGCAGAATGATGGACGGATTTATGTTCAGAAAAGTTCACTGCAGCCTCGTTTTAATGTAAGAGGAAAAAGGATTCAGTCTAAATATCCAAAAATAGGAAATTGTCAAAATAAATTATACACCTCATACAAAGGCATTCTTGACAGCCAATAAAAGTCTTTAGAATGCTTCATGGCATAGAAAACACTTGATGGTGATGGAAAATAGGTTTCTAAGTGTGTAGACTGTGTGAGTCACGTGCTGTGATACATTCTTCCTTGAAAAAAGTAAAATAATCATGTGCCCAAATGTTGACAAATGACTTGAGGATGAGTACTCAGATGACAGTTGAGGGCTGGAGGGGTGGCTCAGTGGTTAAGAGCATGGCTGCCCTTCCAGAGGACCCCGATTCAATCCCCATCACCCACAGGGCGGCTCACACCTGTCTGTAACTCTCGTTCCAGGGCTTCTGACACCCTCACACAGACACACATGCGGGCAAAACACCAATGAACATAAAATAAAAATAAATTATAAAAAAGATGACAATCCTACACAAAGAAACCCTGTCTCAAAAAACCAAAAACCAAAAAAAAAAAAAAAAAAAAAAAAGATGACAGTTGATTTTTTTTTTCCAGATAGAGTTTCTCTGTGTAGCCTTGGCTGTCCTGGAACTCATTCTGTAGACCAGGCTGGCCTCAAACTTATAGAGCTCTGCCTGCCTCTGTCTCCCGAGCGCTGGGATTAAAGGCGTGACAATTGATTTTTATTTTCCTTTCCAAGCTTTCTTGTATTTTCTAATTTTTAAATGAACATATATGCTTTTATAGATTTTTTATTAAGAAATTTTTTATTCATTTTATATACCAACTGCAGATCCCCCTCTTATCCCTCCTCCCACCCTCCCCCAGCCTTCCCTCCCGGCCCACCCCCTATCTCCTCCTCTGAAAAGGTAAGGCCTCCCATGGGGAATCAGCAAAATCTGGTACATTCAGCTGAGGCAAGTCCAAGCTCCTCCCCCTGCATCAAGGCTGTGCAAGGTGTCTTACCATAGGTAATGGGCTCCAAAAAGCTGGCTCATGCACCAGGGATAGATCCTATTCTCACTGCCAGGGGGCCCCTTAAACAGACAATTGTTTCAAGCTACACAATTGTTTCACTTATGCAGAAGGCCTAGTCCAGTCCCATGCAGGCTCCATAGCTGTTGGTCTAAATTTCATGAGTTCCCATGAGCTTGGTTCAGTTGTATCTGTAAGTTTCCCCATCATGATCTTGATGCCCCTTGTCATAGAATCCCTCTTCCTCCTCTTTGACTAGACTTCTGGACTTCCTGGTGCTTAGCTGTGGATCTCTGCATCTGCTTCCATCAGTTACTGGAGAAAGGCTCTATGATGACAGGGTATTCATCAATCTGATTACTGGGGTAGGCATCTTCTCCACTATTGCTAGTAGTCTAAGCTGGGGCCATCCCTGTGGATTCCTGGGAACTTCCCTAGCACCAGATTTCTCCCTATCTCCATGATGTCTCCCTCTATCAAGATATCTCTTTAATTGCTCTCCCACTCCATCCCTGTTCCAGCTTGACCATCCTGTTCCCTTATGTTCTCATCCCACATCCTCTGCCCTCTATTGCCCGCCTTGCCCCCAGATTACTCAGGAGATCTCATCTATTTCCCCTTCCCAGGGTGATCCATGTGTCCCTCTTAGGGTCTTCCTTGTTACCTAGCTTCTGTGGTGATAATCTGGTTATCCTTTGCTTTACATCTACTATCCACTTATGAGTGAGCACATACCATGTTTGTCTTTCTGAGTCTAGGTTACCTCACTCAGGATGATATTTTCTAGTTCCATCAATTTGCCTGCAAATTTCATGAGGTCATTGTTTTTTACTGCTGAGTAGTACTCCATTGTGTATATGTACCACATTTTCTTTATCCATTCTTTGGTTGAGAGGCATCTAGGTTGTTTCCGGGTTCTGGCTATTACAAATAATGCTGCTATGAACATAGCTGAGCAAGTGTCCTTGTGGTATGATTGAATATTCTTTGGGTATATGCCCAAGAGTGGTATCATTGGGTCTTAAGGTAGAATGATTCCCAGTTTTCTGAGAAACCACCATACTTACTTCCAAAGTGACTGTACAAGTTTGCACTCCCACCAACAGTGGAGGAATGTTCCCCTTGCTCTACCTCCTCTCCTTTATAGATACTTTAATTTAATTTTATCATACTCCCAGTATCATAGATCACAATTGATAGTATCTTAATGATGTTTCCAGCCATCTTTCCTTGTATGCAGAGGTCTCTAATGTACATCACACTGATACTGTGTCACAATTGTGAATTTCAGCCTATTCTCACCAGCCACCCTCCCCTTCCCCCCCCCACTCAAGAATAGCAAAAACAAGTACTCTGTAGTGCTTGATAACCAGCCTAGAAATAACTTGAAGAATTACAAAAATAGCAGTTATTCATACATCCAAAATATGATCAGTTATAGAAGTTGGTGGTTTGTTTAGCAGTTTTCTAAAGAATTCTAGTTTGCGGGGGGGGGGGGGGGGGGGTTGCTTGAGTTTAACTTGAAATTATATGGCAGTTAAGTTAGCTGGCCTCTAAGGTCCTCTGTAGCCCTGAGGTTCTGAGGCTATTGGAACAATGTGTTAAATTGCTTCTCCATTAATCAGCCCTCTGGGAGACCTGGCTGGCCAGACCACATGGCTGTAGCCACACTGTGCTCCAGTTTCAGGAGGAAGTTGGGGTCCCTGAGGAGTGACCCGCAGACTTAACCACCGAGTAATATACAGATGTTCAGAGCTTAAAATCCATAGGTTACCTAAAGCCTGACTGGGTCTCAGTCAGATGTGGCAGATCAGGTCAGAAGACACTTTGAGATGGAGTGGACCCAAGTTATAAGATCTCCTGGCTCAGATTGGAGATTCATTTTAGAATTTGTCTCTTAATCTCTGATAATTAAGACTTTTAATTGAAAGAAAATACTTAGCTTGGAAGTGTGCCATAGTATTCTTCAAATTATAGTGAATCTTCAGATTTTGAAAAATACAGTTATGGATGGTCTTTACCTACTTTAAACATATTCTTTATATATTTTACATGTTCTTTTTAAAAGCTAAGAAGGAAAACACTCTGATATATTATGACCCATGTAGACCAACAGCAGTAATACAGGACTTCCTCCCTTTCACATTGTGTTTGGCTTGTAATTACTTGATTTCATGTAAAAAATTACTTGTGAATTTTCTTCTTATGTGCGCTGTGTCTTGCATGTGTGCCTTGCTCCTCTGGGCATGGGTGACGGCCTGAGGCTGACATTGAGGAGTCGTTTTTCCACCTTTTAAAGACAGTCTCACTGAACTTGAAGCCTGCTGTTGGAGCTAGACTGGCTGACCAGAAACCTCCCAGGACCCACTGTCTCGGCCTCTACCCCACGCCCAGCAGTGCGGTTACAGATGCACACAGCCACAGTTTTTACATTTGTTCTGGGGATTCGAACTCAGGTCCTGTATTTACGCAGCAGACACTTTATCCACTGAGCCATCTCCTCAGCCCCTGCTTGAGAATTTCCTATGGTTTCAGCTGAAGTATGAAATGGTTTGCAACATAATTTCAAAGGATCTGAGACAGATAAAAAGCTCTGGATTCTATAGAAACGTGAAAAGAAAATACAGGCTGCTTTGGCAGTCCATTTTGTAGTCTGTTTTTCTTCATTGATTTCTGGAACCTATGAAAAGTTGTTCCCACCCCGTCCCTCCTCAGCACAGAACATCAGAAGATGCTGCTCATGTAAATGTCATACTTATGGTTCAGTCTGAGAAATGAATACTCAGTTCTGGTCCTGGTTCTCTTTATTGTCTTTGTCAGAAAGGGCATGGCACTCACTAACAAAATCTTCACACAACCCTCAGTAAACTCAGGCTGCTCGGTGAAGCCTTTTGCTTCCTGTCTTCTGGCCTGTTCAGCTTTGAACTTCCCACTGTCCACTGTCATTTTCCCCGGGAGGCCTCGGCGCTCTGGCCTGTTGCTTCCCCTCACTCACTGCCTTTGCCTTTCCCATCTGAGAGTGCTTCCTGTTGTCTCCGTGGCAGTCTTCCAACAGTTGGGGCTGGAAAGTGAGCACCTTGCTGCAGAGGAGAAGGCCCCCGTCCCACGGCAACACAGTGTGAGCAGCAGAGGCCTGCGTGCGTCCGCCCTGGCACACGCCTTCCCAAAGACGGTCCTGAAAGCACAATTGGCACATTAGCCGCTCCAGCAAGTAAACTTCAGATATGTATCTGTACCTCAGTCTCCAATAGTATTTTGTTTGTGTTCTTGTCTTCCAGCCTCATTGACTGTGATTTCAGTGAAAGCTGTCTCAGGCATGATCACTCTCTCGGTGACGGGTAAAATGCAGCTCACGTACGCCATCTTCTATATCATGCTTGTCATCATGGTCGCCTCTTGTGTTTTCCAAGTCAAGTAAGTCAGTGTCCACAAAGTCAACGGCCCTTCAGGACCCCTGGGCCTCTCTGTGCGCCGGCTTAGGTGATAAGTAAAATGGTCTCTCACGGTAAAGACCTCCGGCTTCTCCACAGCCAGCATGCCTTGCTTTCCTCTTCCATCCAGTGATTAGTTCGTACTGAGAACTGCCTTCACGTCTTGCACAGTCTGAAGTGAGGCCGCCATCCAGCTAAGTGGGCTCGATGCTTCCCTGATGCTCTTCTGCTTGTAATTAATACCGATCGCACACAGGTTGTCATTAGCAATAAATCAAAGGGGCCGGTCCACATCCAGGGCTTCTTTCTAAATATAGGCAATGCATGAACCCTTCACCTCCATCTCTTAGCTCATGCTCATTAATTGCCCAGAGATGGACGAAACCAGACGTTTGGCCCGGAGGAAAACCCTTTCTCCAGAACTTTGTATCTTTGGCCAGAATTTCCTTCATACCCATGGGATTTAGGAATGATTGTTTCATGTTTCTCTTGGGTCCTAATACTGGTGACATGGAACATTTTTAATTCCTGTCCCCCACCTCCATCTGTTTTAATCACTCTCCCCACTTTTCACATTGTGATTAAACCTCTGCCTGCTGGGCTCTTTTGAGTTAGCCAGAGAGTTCACCCCAAAACACTATGCAGAAGCATCTCCCAGTGCCCAGAAGGAAACCAGATCTCAAACTGCTGATGAGGGGTGGGGCTTGTTCTACAGATGGCAGCAGTCTATCCTGTGGGTAAGTAGATCTTGGGCCTGAGGCAGGAGAGTGACAGGAGGAATCTACTTCCTGAGATGGAGTGTGTTTATCATACTTCACCATTCTATTTCGCCACCTCTGTCTTCTGAATTAATCGGTGCTGCTGCAGTGCCTTGGGGGATTTAGTGATTAGTGTCATTACTTTATAGCACACTTCAGGAATGTAAAGGCAGACACAGCTAAAGGAAGACTGTATCTTGTCAACCTTATTTAACTCTCTCTCAAAGTAAAAACGTAGTCCTCCACCTTGATTTCCATTAAAATTACCCAAGGTTTGTTTGTACATGTGTACACACACACACACACACACACACACACACACACACACACACACACTAGCTTTATCCACAAACCTCTTTTTTTTTTTTCAGTTATTCTTGACATCTGCTGTCCTTGCTGGAGAGTGAGCAGATCACTCGCCCTACCTAACAGCAGTACTTTTTGAAACCTCCCAGGTAATGCCCATGCAAGGCACTGCTTTGTCTCTGCCTGAGCAGCACAGCCAGTGTGGGAACTTGTGTTCCTGGGGGTGGCCGGAGCAGAAGCTCAGCTCCCACATGTGCTCTGCAGCTGGAGCACCAAGCATTGCTTTTGAAACATTAAACATTCCTTTGCTTCTCTGTCTGCTTTCTTGGCACGTGGCATGTCAGTGGATAGCTGTACGTTCCCCAGATATGATATTCCACAGGTTCTAAGGTCTATCCTAATGAATCAGCCCCGGCGTGATACTGGTCCAGCAGCTTGAATCACTTCCAACTCAAACTTCTGTGGCCTCAGAATATGATTAATTGCTTTTCATTGGTACTGTTGTTGGTTTAAACAGACCGTAAAACCTGACATCTGATCTCATACATCAGATGCATCGAAGCTCGGACCGCTGATTGGAAGTGCCCTTCCTCTGCACTTCCTCTCCTTTGTAGTTGAGGCTACAGAGCATGCACTTCTTCAAGTTATTGTTAGCGTGTTGCTGAGCGCTGCTGACCTGGAGCCTCAGTAATTGCCATCTCCTATAGGTTCCTGAATCAAGCCACAAAGCTCTACACGATGACCACAGTGGTTCCAGTCAACCATGTTTTCTTCACAACTAGTGCCATCATCGCAGGTGAGTTCTGGCTTTCCACGGAAGGCAAAACCACCCCAGCACAAGTACAAGATCTTTTCAGACTCAAAGGAGGAACAAGGAAGCTTTGGGTGTCCATGTCCCCAGCCTCCAGCCAGTGTCTAATTTCGTTCGAGGTCCTCTCCTTTGTGTGGATACTCCCTGGGGCTCTCTGCTTCCTCATGCAGCTCAGTCCTGTTTTGATGGCTCTCATTGACTTGAGAGTTCTAATGACTAGAAAGTGTTTCCTTACTCTGGAGCTCAAATTAGTTTCCTTATGAATTCAAGACACTCACCTTTGCTGTACTTTCTCAGTCTTCTGCCTGCAGCTCCTGCTAATCAAAGTGACAGGAAAATCCTCTCGAGTCTTCCCTGCAGGCCAAACACCCCAGTCCCTTGAATTCATCCTCTGTGCCCACATCACCTTAATGAGAGAACAGGGTCCCTGATCTAATTTACCATTGCACAGAAGGCCTGACAGACTCCACATTTGCTAGTCCTCTCTTAGAGCTCTTGTATTTTAATGAAAATACCTTTACATTTGCAGAGATATAATGTTAAAAAAGTACAAACTTAAAACTTGGTCCAAACCAAAATGCACTAAATTCAAGTAAATCATGTATAAATTTGATAATGGTAGGCCCTGGCTCAATATTATCAATAATCTCAAGCTACCTGATGTATCTGCCGTTTTCTTGTCAGGCTGCTGCTACGGAACTTGCTATGTAGACCAGGCTGGCCTCTAACTCATCATCCTCCTGCCTCTGCATCCTGAGTGCTGGGACCACAGATATGTGCCCCCAGGCCAATGGACAGGTTCTTGAAGTAATTCATACAGCCTTCTGTTTCCCAAAAAATTGAACCTCAAAGAAATACTGTAAGAAAAGCTTATATCCCAAGGCATCTATCTTTTTTTAGTGTCTAGTGCTTTCTAGTGAAAGTGATAAAAGATTGTATGTTGATGTGCCCTAGAATTATCAGAAAGCTAAAATAAAAAGCAAAAAGATTACAGGTATGACATGCACCCTAATAATCAATATACAGAAAAATGTAAAAAATAATGTAGTTCCCTGAGCAGAAGGTTTTTCAGCTAATAGGGCTGTGTATAGCGTTCAGGACTTTCTAGAAATACTAACAGCTCGTCTGATGTTGCATGTGGAGTGGCAGGGAAGCTTTTCGATGGCCTCTCCTCCCAGCAGTGAAGGTGAAATGGTTAGTTCCTTCCTGCCAAGTTAATAAGCGTTGGTTTTTATCGCAGTGGCCAGCCTGGACAAGTCTGCCCTGTCATCGGCACCTCACAGGGCTGGGGAGCTGGCGCCGCTCTCCCAGACTGAGGTTCATGGTATTATCAAGGGCGTTAAAAAAGCTTCTACAAGTCAACACCAAAACCTGAGTGACTTGACTTTAGGTGGGCAAAGGACCTAAATGTGCCTGCAAAGAAAATATAAAATGGCCAGCAAGCAAATGACGCCAAACATCAGTAATCAGCAAGGAAAGAAAATGAGATGTCACTTCACGCATTCAGAGGATGACTACTGTTTGCTGTGGTGTTATTTTGTTTTGTTGTGGAGATAGTGTCTCTCTATGTAGTCCTGGCTATCCTAGAAATCACTGTGATACCTCAAACTCACAGAGATCTGCCTGCCTCTGCCTCCTGAGTGCTGGGATTAAAGGAATATGCCCAGCCAAAGGCTTATTTGTTTATGTATTTTATGTGTATGGTGTTTTGTCTGCATGTGCATCTGCACCCCAGAAGAGGGCATCACATCCCATGAGACTACAGTTATAGGTGGTTGTGAGCCACCATGTGGGTACTGGGCATTGAACTCAGGACCTCTAGAAGAGCAGCTAATGCTCTTAACTGCTGAGTAATCACTCCAACCCTCGGGTGGCCACTACTAAAAATTTTTTTAAAGTAACAGCAAAGATATGAGACATTGGAATGTTAACTCCTGTACTATTGGTAAATGGAAATATAAAATTATATAGCCATTATGGGAAACAGTATGCAGTTTCTCAAAATTTTTTAAATTATTCTACAATCCAGCAATTCTACTCCTGTGTATGTACCCCAAAAATGAACACAAATTTATAACAGTAACCATAATAGCCAAAAGATGAAAGCAATCCCAGTATCCATTGACAGATGAGTGGACAGAAAAATGTAATGAGTGCACACAATAGAATACTATTCACATTTAACAGAAAGGGAATTCTGCCACTTGCTCCAGTGCTGGTGAAACACGAGGACATTATTAAGAGAATCAAGTCAATCTCAGAAAGAAAAGGAAAGTAGTGAGCCCATGTACTTGAAAGAAACACATGGTGGTTACCAGAGAAGAGAAGAGGAAATGCTTGATCAGAATACAGTTTCAAGTTTTCAAAATGAAACTGTTGTCAGATTTGAATATGCAGCAATGCAAATACGTTTAACACTACTGAACTTCATACATAAAAACGGTTAAGATGGTAAATGTTACATCTTGAAAACATACCTAACATGACTATAAGTTTGATTATTATAGATGACTATTAACCTCATTTCTTAATTATCCTAAATAGTTTGTAATAATGGCTTTCAAGTACTAGAAATTTACATTACATTTTTAATGTAGTTTTAAAATAAAAAAAGTCTCTGCTCTCTAAAACAGAAATTCCATTTCCAGAAACTCATTCTGATGACACAGAAATCTCAAACACTGGGGGAGGTGTGTACAAACAAGCTCGTTACTACTTGGCTGAAGAGTGAGCACATAGATACAGCTTACATGCCCTTAGAGAAGTTATCATTAGGGTGCATTGCCTAGATTAACAAAAACCTTCACATGATTAAAGAGAGGTCCATCACAGCACAGGGAGTGCTTGGGAAGTGCGCATCCATGTGGAAACATTCAGCAGAAGTGGATGAGGTTCATTCTGTAAGTGAGGAGGTGAGGTTGAGACTGAGTAAGCTTCTCCTAAGGGTAGGTCTCACCCTGCTCACCATGGTGTCTCCAGTACCTATAGAGTACCTTCTAAAAGATATGGCAAAACTGGCACCCACCACACACACAGCTAGTTTCAGATGGTCTATGATTTAAAAATTTCCTACTTAATAAAAGCTCTGCAAAGTCCTTTGGACCTTAAATGAAGAAATCATTGGGACTAACTGGAAGAAGTCATTAAACCAGATGATACATGCTTTTTCCCCATGGCCTACAGGGGAAACCAGAGGAAGAAAATGGCAGAAAGCTCCATGGAGAAAAATGGGTCAAGGCAACGCCCAGTTGCCAGAGATTCCGCTAGTGCCCGTATGGGCATCTGGCCAGACTTACAGAACATAGGATATAGCCAAAGAGATAGCATTGCTGCAGCAGGCAGCCTGGAGCAGGCCTGCCATGACAGTGGCCTCACCATCCAGCTGCTTCTCACGGTGGGTCCACTGACTCCTGATGAAAACCATTGGTGGAAGACGGTTGCTGGAGTTTGGTTCTCTTGCATGTTCCACAGAGAAACCCTGGACTGAATAAGACATTGCTGTTTACAGTGCTGGGAAAACATCTCAGTAAAGGGCTTTCCACATTTAAAAAAGGGGGTGGAGCTGTGTCTATGACCCCAGAGGCTGACCAGCCAGCCAAACCACATTGGTACGTTCCAGGTCAGTGAGAGACCCTGCCTCTAAAAATGAAGTGGATGTACAGCTCATGAGAAAGGACACAGGTTGTGCTCTGGCCTCTAGCATATGCACACTTATGACTATGCATGCATATGCAAATACATGCACATATAGACAAAAATGAAATTTCTGCTTACGAAACCTACGTTGGTTTTATAACATTGATAATTATATTAAGCCTACAAGACCATGCAAGTCTTTTGAGTAGCTTGAAATGTAAGAATAGCACACAGGGTCTTTTAAATTAAAATATTTAATATACATTTTAAGGGAAGCCACACATAGAAAAAATACATTTACATGATTTTTTTTTTTTTCGTTTTTCGAGACAGGGTTTCTCTGTGTAGCTTTGTGCCTTTCCTGGGACTCGCTTGGTAGCCCAGGCTGGCCTCGAACTCACAGAGATCCACCTGGCTCTGCCTCCCGAGTGCTGGGATTAAAGGCGTGCGCCACCACCGCCTGGCCTGATTTTTTTTTTTTTTTTTTTTTTTTGAGATAGGGTTTCTCGGTGTAGTTTTGGTGCCTGTCCTGGAATCTCTCTCTGTAGACCAGGCTGGCCTCAAACTCACAGAGATCTGCCTGGCTCTGCCTCCCAAGTGCTGGGATTAAAGGCATGCACCACCGCTGCCCGGCTATTTACACAATTTTTTAAAAAATAATGTGTTGCTATTATAAATACCCCTGCCCTAAAATTAGCTCTGTCCTCTTCTTATACAGGCATCATATTTTACCAGGAATTCCTTGGTGCTGCTCTTCTCACTGTATTTATATATCTCTTTGGGTGAGTAAAAGTCTCAGAGGTAAGGTATGTGAAGTTCTATTAATTTTGTATAGGATTTTTGGCACAGTACCTCAAGTATAGAAAATTGGAACATACTACAAGAAACATATTTTTCAACTTAACACTCTACACAGGGCTTTGTGCCCTTGGCTTTGTGGCTTGTGTCCCCCTTTGAGAGTTCTGAAACACTGGGGATTTTCAGTTCCGGCCAAAATCATAAATCCACTGGTGTCTGTGGTTCCTCCATAGCTGTTTAGTTCTCTATCAGGCCACCTCTCCCTCGGAGCTCCTAGGTTGGATCACCCAAGTGAAAGGCCAAGGCTGGTAGATTCTAGTCTTAGATGAAGCAACCTCAGGTTGGTAGCTGCCCTTTTTATCATAAAACAGCCAGTTTGGCCTTTTTTGGAGACTTGGTGGATGTCACCACTGACATTTGCTGGCAAACCGAGCGCCGAACCTTGACGATGTGTTGCCAATGAATAGCTACTTCCATGGGCTCCAGGCACACCCCGTTAATGTTTAGCTGCCTCTTGATCTGCTATTCAGCATGACCATTGTTATGCAAACTTGAGCCTAGTCTATTTTCAACATAGGAAACCATCTATCTTGAAAATTTAATTTCATAAGACATTTGGGCGCGGCCAAACTTCTGGGGTCTGGAAACTATGACTACTCTTATGGCCAAGGACAATGAGAATTCTTAGAAAATTAAAGAATAGCTTGTTTTTCACTTGTGTTGCATGCCAGTAATGGGTCTGGGCATGCATGGATAGAAAATGAGACCTAGTGTCTACCCAAAGGGTTTAGAGCCTGAATTAGCCTCCAGATGGTGAAAACCTGGGGCAGAGATTTATTGGAAACTGCCCAAGTCTTGGTTCTGGGTATAACTCTTACTGGCTGTAAGAATTAAGACAAGTTTGAGGCAGTTTACCATGAGAAATGGGACATACAAAACTGATGGACTTCATGTCATCATGTAAAAGTTAGGGTGCAGTTATTTAATGCAATGGCTGCTTCAGTATTCCTGTGTTCTTCATTAGCATGTTTCTTACAGGTGCTTTCTCTCATTCCTTGGAGTATTTTTGGTGACGAGAAATAGAGAAAATGACCATCTACAACAGTCTTTTATTGATTTTGGAAATATTCCTGGTAAGAAAAAAAGATATGTATATTTTTTCTCTGATTTATAGTAGTAGATTGTCCTTGGGCCCGAGATGGTTCAGTGGATACAAGCGCTTGCCACCAGGCCTGATGACACAGGTTTACATGGTTGAAGGCGATACCCGACCTTACAAGAGTTCTGACCTCCGTACACACACACACAGTCATCCTTTTAGAACACAGGAAGAAAATTTACCCTTATAAATTAATCATTGTTGGCACTATTTTAGATGCTAACATAAGAACATAATTTTTACCTCAGGAAATGCATTTAGTGATGAAGCCCAGTGAGGTATAATGTTGATAATTTATAGATGTCAGTTCTGCACAGAACAATGAGGTTGTTGGGGAACTGACCAGAGTTCCTTGATGTGGGTCACTTGGAGGATCACACTGGGATTTCCTTAAAGTGTCAAAGGACATGGATGCATGGGGAATGGCAAATTCCTGACACCTACAGACCCTTTGATGGGATACCCAAGGACTGATGGTCCAGATGCTGAAGAATAGCATTCCTGAGGAAGACTGAGGCAGCTTGTTCCCTGTGATGCCAAGAGTGACAACCACCACCACCAGGATGTGAACACCCTCCTTCCTCACTTCATTCACGCACAATGGGTACCATCTTTCCAATGCTCGTTTCCACTGAGAAACAACCCAGCTTGTGTGTGTACAGTACGCACAGAAGCAAAATCCAGAGCAAAGGCAGCCATCCTTACCACCCTCCCACCCTAACTCACCCACCCACTCCCAGCTTTGCTAGGGATTTTGGGTGACCTACAGGTTTCCATGCAATAGTAGAGATAGTTTTGTCCACCATTCTGTCCATCATGCCTTTAAAGCAAAAAAAAAAAAGAAAAAAAATCACTAAAGTTTCTATAAGATTGAGAAATGAAGACCAAAGGAGTGAGTTTGGTATTCTCTTTGCTATGTGAGCTACCTAATCAAGAGCACTCAGTGATAGGATTGGCATTAGCAGCAGCAATGCTCATTAGGGCTCATTTAAAACTGATTTTTTTGTAAGAAATAAAAATGCTGGAAAATAAAAGGATTTGTTTGTATGTAACTATTTTCTGCTTCGCAGAGCTTCCTGTATAGGATCTGCAGTGGCTCTTAGAGCTCTGGTCCATGATGTTTCCTGTGTTGTTGTATAGATAGGGGGAAGACAAAACATAGCGTTGAAAGGTCTGGAGATGAGTGACTAGTTATGTGGCTCTCCTGATTGTTCCAACCTGTCCTCATGCCCAGTGCAGAGCGGGCAGATGTCATGTGGATAAGTGTGTGACCACATGACAAGTGCTAGGAGATTTCTGTGGGCCTTTCCTTCCTTGACGTTTTATCTTTTTCATTGAGAGGGTAACCACATAGTATTTTTTAAAGGCATAAAATGTGGCCAGAACTGGAGAGAAATTATTAGGACATTTTTATCTTTTAAGAGCTCAAAAGGTCTTTTATGATTATTATCTCCACAGGGAAACAAATGTTGGACAAAATACAACCAGATTCAAATGGCTTATCCTATGGAACCTTGCCTGATGGAAGTGACTCAACCCGGAGCCAGAGTGGAGAGAAGAAAGAAGCCTAAAATGCTGAGAGGGATGCCGTTGGCCTGTTATTCAATACCACCTTTTTAAAACATTGCACATGTTCAATTTGTGTCAGCAGCTATTTCACGCTGACATGTGTGCACATTCGATTCAGTCCTCTCCCCCACTGTGGACAATCAGGGCCCTCCTAATCTCTAACAGTCTAATGCTTTCATGGAATGTAACTCAAAGTGCTCCCCACACCCTGCATCTCTCCCTAGCGATCATCTAACTGGCTGTATCTTAATGAGAGCCTGGCTGCTTGAGCAGGATGTCACACAAAAATGTGCGCTCAAGATTTGGCCATAGAAGGCATAGGTTGCTCCTCCATGTGGCTTGCAGAATCAGCTTGTTGGCTTCAAAACACTCTCTGCTGCCACAACCTGTCTTTAAAGAAAGGTCTGATGTGCTTCTCTTGGGCATTTTCTACGAGCCTTTCGTGAGGACTTACTCCTTTTTCCCTGTCAGGATGGCAAATCTTCTTTTCAGAAAACCAACTCTGTTAAAATCCTCCTTTGAAAATAAAGGGCTTCTTTAAAAAACAGAATTTACAAATGGTATTCTGTGTTGGTATATACCAAAAACTCAAAGACCTGGCTGCTGGCATTTTTTTTTTCTTAGAAAAAAGGGGGCCTATGGGGGCTGGGGATTTAGGTCAGTGGTAGAGCACTTGTCTAGCAAGCACAAGGCCCTGGGTTCCGGTCCTCAGCAGGGGGGGACCTATGCTGGGCAGTGGTGGTGCACACCTTTAAACCCAGCACTGGGGAGGCAGAGACAGGTAGATCTCTGAGTTCAGGACCATCCTGGTCTACAGGGTGAGCTCCGGGACAGCTAGGGTTACACAGAGAAACCGTGTCTCAAAAACTTAAGAAAAAAATGGGGGTGGGGAGCATTTAAGACATAAAACGGTGCTCACCTCTGTGGCATATGTACTAAAATTCAAACAGCACATTTTATCATGGTCTTTGTGTTAAGTATGATACACAAATTTTTCAAGTGTTAAAAATTTTGCAGCAATGTTTATTTTTTCAATAAAACTCTAGAATGGTAGTATTTTCTCCAGCCTTATGGTCCTATTATATTTACATTGAAATTGAAGGAAAACATGTCATATGCCTTAAGTTGTTACAGACCCTATACTTTATTGGGTGGGTTTCTATGTTTTAGCTTCCAATACAAGTCTCAAAATGGCATTTAGATTCTTAGGATATTCGTACTACACACTGTTTCTCCCTCCAAGTCCTCTGAAGCTTTGCTACTGTGGAATTTCTTTCTGTATGCTGTGAATATATGTGGCTCCCATTGGATAATAAATAAAGCAGTTTTGGCCTATGGCAAGAAAGCTGACAGCCAGGCTGGAAATCCAAGCAGATACAGAGAGAAGAAGGGCAGAGTCGGGAGATATATGAGCTGCTGCCAAAGGAGCAACAAGATGCCAGCAGACTGGCAATGCCATGGCCATGTGGCAACATATAGATTAATAGGAATGGATTGATTTAAGATCCAAGAGTTAGCTAGCAAGAAACTGAAGCCATAGGCCATACAGTTTGTAATTAGTGTAAGCCTCTGAGTGATTATTTTATAAGCAGCTGCAGGACTGTGGGGCCAGGCAGGACTGAGAAACTTCTGGCTACACTTGGCCAGTTTTTCTAGAAAAGGAAAATCATGATCAGAGAATTGGGTCTCAGCTCCTTGAATCTGGCTATCGACTATAGCCAATAGAAGAACCTGTGCCTTGTATGACTTCTCTGCTTCCCCTTAGCACACTCACTAACATACATTTGCAGGCAGAATCTGTAGTAACTTTTATTGTTTGTGCTATACCTAATATTTAAACAATGAGAAAAGAGGACACATTTATTGTAACTAAATAATAAGATCCATCCTTAATGACACTTTAATCATGCCACCCAGTGTCACTGAAGACTTGTGTTTGTGCATGGCGCTAAACTTGGAGCTAGTGAGATGCTAATCTTAATTGTTTCTAGTCTTTTAATGTTTTATTTATTATAACCTGAACTCCTGACCAAACTGGAATAACCCAAAGCCCATCTCTGACTTCAAATTATTATTAACAGTTCCTGCCACTGTGAAAAGTGTCCCATTAATCTGGATGCAACAGTCAGATAATTAATGACATGTTTTACTGAATGGGTGCAGCACGTTGGCTCTGGGAGGCTCAGCTAAGTTATGTGTCTGGTGCCTTAAACAACAAATTTCTAGTAAATCTTGACATTAGTTTCAAAGATTGGGAAGCAATTAGAACAACGAGTTTTCCTTGAACTGGGACCACGTTCATAGTTACAACACCCAGTTTTGAGCACTGTAGAATTTTGCAGACATGGCGTAACAACAGTATGTTGGTACCCTCCAACATTTGCATGAAAGGTTTTGAGAAATGAAATTCATTATTCGGTACAGAAATGCTTTTGAAATCAAGGTTAGATATATTATATTCAGACCTAATTTTACTAACTGTGGTGCACCAAACCAAGGTGGATAGAAGTCTTAGTTTACTGGCCTATAGAGTGTTTCTCTCCCTCTTTTTCATGCTCAGTGCCTGACAACAGCCAAAGCCAACCCACCCCTTCTGGAGTTGTAAGCTGGGAACCTTTGGCCAACATTTGGCTCATCTGACTGTTTGTCTAGACCAAGGATTGGCTTTTTCAGTAAAGACTTAAAAAGTAAATATTTGGGGGTTTGTGTTGTCCATATGGTATCTGTCCCTCACTACTCAGCTATTCCATCATAGCACAAATGTAGCCATAGACAATATGTAAACAAGTGAGAATGGATGTACATCTGTAATTATTAACAAACAAAAAAATTAGTAGCCAATCCATGTCTGTAGTTTGCCAAGGCCTGGTCCAGACTCTTTGCCCTTGCTATCCAACTTTTTTTCTTGTTTCTTGAGCACTGGAGAGCTAAAAAAAAAAAAAAGAAAAAATTGACACTTCATGGTTTGTGACAAATCAGATGCTTGATATTTATATTAGGATCATTTTGCTTATATAAGAAATAAATGGATTTGTTATGAGTTTATTCTCAGAGTCCAACTTTGTCTCTTTGGAAAGCAGTGATTCATTTATGGACATCACTAAACAGGCTGGAAGTATTTACCCAGTCCCACGTACCACTCTGGTAATAGCTTTGGGAATTATCTCTCGTAGTCAATGAGTGCAGTGGTCTCCCCATCTGACCACTTAGTTTAAATGCTTGCTTACCCTACGCTATAACACTCTCATTAGCAAAATCCCTTGAAAACTAATACACCAAAAGATTTTCAAGCAGAGATTAAGAATATATTCTTCACACACACACACACACACACACACACACACACTTCCACCCCCACCTCCACATACACATGTTCCATGAACAGCACTGGAGTTTCTGTTCTATTCGTGGAAAAAGAAGGAAAAGAGGAAGATTTCATGGATGTGTGCAACCTTGTGGCTATTGAAGAATAATGTGACAATGTCTAAGTTTAGCTCCAAAGAAAGCAGGTATGATGGTGGACATGACTCAGATGAACGGAGATATGAAGCCAAGAACCGCCTGCGTGCTCTGTGTTTTCCAGGCACACAACACATCCAGGAATAGTGACTGCACATGCTTGGCCCCTTTGAAGCCTGCCTCTGGGATGCCAATTTAATAGAAATAAGAAGGCTATGAACACAGCAGTGAGTAAAATGAACCTTCCCAGCACCCGTCCAGTTTGCTTTATGCAAACCCTGGGGCTTGCTATTTAGGCAATCTTTAAGCAACTGTAAGCCTAATGCATGTGACTGGCACTTGTCCATCCCTCGACTCGGTCTTTTTTTCTGTTGAAGTTTCACCTTTTCAGGATGTCATGTAGCTGGGATCATACAACATGCAGCCTTTTGAGCCTGGTTCCTTTCATTTCTTTTTTTTTTTTTCTTTTCGAGACAGGGTTTCTCTGTGTAGCTTTGCGCCTTTTCCTGGAACTCACTTGGTAGCCCAGGCTGGCCTCGAACTCACAGAGGTCCACCTGGCTCTGCCTCCCGAGTGCTGGGATTAAAGGCGTGCGCCACCACCGCCCGGCTCCTTTCATTTCTTAATACACATTTACCTTGCCTCCATGTCTCTCATGTAGTCACCTAGGGAGATTGCCAGGTAAACACCACACATTCCGCACTGCTGATAGCTCCGAGTTGAACTGAACATGATCGTATAAGGAATTGTGAGGCTGCTTCTAATCATTAGACTCATCAACAGCCTGGCTCTTATTATGACCATCTAGAAGCAAAAATTAAAAAATAAAAAAATAATCCACACATACATGGTTTCAAATATAGACCAGTCTGGGGCTATTGAATACATTGCTTTAAAACAGCAATTGTGGTAAATCCGAGGAAGAGCCTTCCCACCCAGAAATTCTTGTCTGTCCCTTTCTTACCAGCCTGAGGGTACCACACAACACGCTGTCCTGTGCCAGGAGAACAATTGGCTCCAGGAGCTATGGCCGAACTAGGAAAAACCCCTTTCAATGTGGTTCCTTATTGAGACTTACTGAGTCCCAACCACAGCAGAAGAGAGGAATATCAACCCCACAGCAAAAAAGTGACTTTTCAAGGTACACCCAGCTGAGCAAGCCATTGCTAGGAAGTTCACAGAGTCCTGGGCAAGATGCAAGATAGTCTCCATGTTCCAGCAAGGAACCTCCTTCCAAGGGTGAGCCGCTGCTCTGCAGGCGTGACCAGTCTCCCAGCACACCCACTTCCAGAACCTTACCTTTGCTGGTTTTAATTTTAAAACAAGCCTCAGACAGTTTCTTGGGCTTTCCTCCCCATGTCCAGAGCACTCTACCTAAGCCTTCTGAACACAATGCACCTACAAGAAAATGAATCAGCTTGAGAGTGCTTGATCTAGAGATTCAAAGCTTAGGATCATTGCCTGATTATCAACTATTCATCCAATTACCAAATGGCTCAAACTGCCAAATACTCATGAAGCCACTGGATCGAAATTGGTTGCCTACTATTTTTAGTGTGTGTTTGGTTTGATGTTGTTTTAGAACACTTTTGATTTTGCTTCTTGAACACTGAGCAGAAGGTATAGAGATTTCCCACATAATTCCAGTCCCTGCCCTTGCACAGCCCCCCTTTATCAACATTCTCCCTCACATGGCATATCTGGTACCATCAGTGAGCTTATTCCCGTGAATCCTTATCATGCCTCATTCCTTGTCTCCATTAGGGTCCCTGTTCTGGGTCAGTTTTCTTTTTTTGTTTTTGTCAACTTGCTACAAGCTAGAGTTATCTGTGAGGTGGGAATCACAGTTGAAAAATGCCTTTCTAGGACTGGTCTGTAGACAAGCCTGTGGGGCATTCTCTTGATTAGTGATTAAGGTGGAAAGGCCCAGCCCATTGTAGGTAATGCCACCATGGGCTGGTGGTGCTGAATCCTATAAGAGAGCAGGCTGATGCCCCTTTCAGAATGGAGCTGGGGGGGATAGGTGGGAGGTGGGGGGAGGGAACAGGAGAAGGGAGGGGAAACTGTGGTTGGTATGTAAAATAAATGAAAAACATTTAATAAATAAATAAATATCACTTAAAGAAAGAAAGAAAGAAAGAAAGAAAGAAAGAAAGAAAGAAAGAAAGAAAGAAAGAAAGAAAGAAAGCAGCTGAGCAAGCCAGGAAGAGCAAGCCAGTAGGCAGCACCCTCCATTGCCTCTGCTTCAGCTCCTGCCCTGACTTCCTTCAATAATGGACTGAGATACAAGAAGGATAAGCAAAAGAACTTCCCAAGTTGCTTATAGTCATGGTATTTCATCAATGCAATAGAAACCATAACTAAGACAGTGTTCTTAGAGGTGTGTATTCTGCAACTTGATTAAAGGCTTGGTGACACTCATCACCGCCACAGTGTCGTACCAAAGATGCTCTGAAGTCCCTGTGCTCCCCCAACCTCCCCTCCCCACTTAGCCTCTGGTCGTTTTGCTGTCATGGGAGTTTTGCTGTTTCTGGAACCTCATACAGTTTTTCTCATACCATACACAGCCCTTTGAGCCTGGCTGCTTTCATTTCTTAGTATTCATTTATCTTTCCTTGTCCTCTCATGGCTTGGTAATCTATCTCTGCTTAGTACTGAATAAGGTGCCACTGTCTGGATGTACCTCGGTTTACCATTCATCTACCAAAGGACATCTTGGCTGCTTCCAAATCTTGACAGCTTGTAGTCCTTAGGAACATAAAATGAATGAGATATGAAGACCAGCATCTTGGGGGCTTACCACCTAGTTGTGGAAATAGCAGGTATTATTTACTGAGCCCACAGAGCCCCAGGCAGACACTACGCTTCATCTTCTCTTTGAGTTGCTCATTTTATCCTTACAATTTATCCAGTAGGGAGGCCTTCTCTACACTTCCCATATTAGAAAACCAGAGCACACAACAGCACAGAGATTAGAGTCAGATGAGTTGGAGAGTGACACCTAGAGCACGAAATTTAAGGAGGTCATGAAATCTTCCTTTTAGGGTCGTGAGAAGGCCGCTCCTGTATGTGCAGAACACCAAGAGTAAGTCTAGTCTTGTACACACCCTACTGTGTTCCAGCCCTTGACCAGTACACTGGTCTTACACCCAAGACGTACAACTCTTTTTTTAATTACTTAGTTTATTTTTCATTTTATGTGCATTGGTGTTTTGCCATGGGTGTCGGGTCCCCTGGGACTGGAGTCACAGACGGTTGTGAGCTGCCGTGTGGGTGCTGGGAATTGAACCCGGGTCCTCTGGAAGAGCAGCCAGTGCTCTTAACTGTTGAGCCATCTCTCCAGCCCCAGCATATAACTCTTATCCTGTTCTTACCACTATTGCTACAACCCCACACGGCACATGGCATGTCAGAAATGTCTCTCTTAGGGTGCTTGAACAGACAACCTGGGAGCTATAACGAGAGAAAGGTCACCTAGGTTAAGTGGTCTTCAGAGGAATAGGGATGGTAGTAGGCTAGTGCCACAAAATGGATGTTCTCTCTGCAACCCAAAAATAAAGCTCTTATTTGGGGAAAGGTTCTTTGCAAAAGTTATTAAGATCCCTCTCTCTCTCTCTCTCTCCTTCTCTCTCCATCCATCCCTTCCTCTCTCTCTCATGTAACGTAGTGTTTGGTGCATGCATGCATATAGAAGCCCATGGCTGGTACCAGGAGTCTTCTCAGTTGAACCCAGGACTCCTGGACTGGGCTAGTCTCGCTTTGCAGCTTGCCATGGGGAGTCCCAATCTCTGCCTTCCAAGTACTAGAATTATAGGTGAGCCACCACGACAACCCAACATTTACGTGGGATCTGGGGATCTGAACCCTGGTTCTCACATTTGTACAGCAGGAGCTTTAACCACAGAGTGATCTCCCTGGCCCTGATTAAGTCCTTTAGAGGGAGATCAACCTGGATTACTTGGGTGGCCCCTAAAGTGGGTATCCTTTAAAAAGATAGGAGGGAGGAAAACTCAGACTTAGTCACTTGAAAATGGAGGCAGAAATGAGAGTCTTGAAATCACAACAAAAAGTACCTGGAGCCACCAGAACCTAGAAGAATTCAAGGATGACTCTCTCTCTTTTAGGGACTTCACAGGGAGCACTGCCATGCTGACCATCAAGCCACCAAGCATGTGATAATTTGTTGCAGTGACCTAGAAAATGAACATACAGATCAACATGGTCTTTGAAGAACCAGGACATAGGAGAAAACCCCACCAAACAGAGACTGGTAATAGCTCAAAGCGAGCTCGGTATGTGCCTGTCACGTGGGGAAGACAGCTCCAAAGGCCTCGAGTGCCTGGATCCGGTATATACTAGACTTGAGAAGAAAATGGTGGCATTTGCTTCATATCTAAGAATGCAACATGACCGTGAATATTGTATTAGGACTTTCCTGGCTGAGAGCTGGCCCAGACAGTCAAATACTTGTCACACAAACTGGGGGACCTGAGTTCAATCTACCAGCCAATGAACTCCAGGATCAGTGTGATATCCTGCCTCCCCAAAATTGAAAAGGATACTTAATGTTCACCTCTGGCCTACAC